TAGACTACTGTGCAAAGACTGATAGGCCGAAAATGTCCTAAAGATTCAGGGTTGAGGCATTTTGGAATCAAAGATAGAATTGTGTGGTTCCAGTATTTCAGAATGTTACCTGAATTAAAGAAACTGAGAGCTGCGGCCATAAGATCTGGCTTGGTAAGATCCCAGAAATGCTGGAAAAACGTAGCACTCATCCCATCTTCACCAGGAGTTTTTTCAGGAGGTAAGCTGAAAAGAGCAGCCTTTATTTCATCCTCAGTGACTGGCTTGAGAAGTGCTTCATTCATGTCACTTGTTATAGTAGTTGGGATAAGGTGAAGGATTGCATCTCCATCCCAGCTGCCCTCTGAAGTGAACAAGTTGGAGTAGAAATCAGAGATGTGTTTTTCAATTCCTTTCTGAGTTGTGAAGCATTGTCCTTGAGCAGACACCAATCTAGAGATAGCATTGTCCTTAATTTCTTGCAAAGCGTGTTAAATAATTCTCAAAACAAATCACATAGATTTCCTTAAAATATTCCCGGTTAAGCGTGTAATTTGGTTGCCAAGGTACAGCTGTTTGATTAAGAGCATCTCCAATGCTAAAATGTTGTTGTGGAAATTACATTCCCCATCAACACATTTAACAATATCACAACTTTTCATCCTCCAATGTATAATGTGATCCCAAATGTTGTAATGATGTGGACATAATTAATGTCTACAATGTAGAAGAGAATGTGGTTCATCCACATTCTCCTCCACACTCTAACTAGTCAATGAAGAGAAGAGAGAGAATAATTCTTACCAATTCCAAACAATTTAACTATTTAATTAATCTTCTTATTATATATTATAATATTTTATATTTGGTAAGTAAATAGAATTGTAGTTAGACTACATTGTGCATTAGAGATAATTTTTTAATTTCATAATTGTAAACTTAGTCTCTCCTACATGGTTCACAATCCATTTAATTTATTGACATTTGGCAAAAATTATTTTACAACAATATTAGAGCATTGGAGATGCTCTAAGAATCATGCATATTTTGTGAACAAAATATTCGGTCATTCATTTATTTATTTATACTTCTCAAAGCCCATCGTGTAAAATTTGATTCCAAAAATTTTGGCAAATGATTTATATGATTTGCTTAATCTATTATTATCTATTACTATATCTATTAATATAAAAAAAGGATATGAATTTACTTGAAATGAAAACTAAAATACCGCTTATATTTTTAAAGTTACTAAACTTGGCTTTTCAAAATTTTTGGAAAAAATTTAAATTCAAACCTTTAAAGGAAATATCCCAATAAGATTTTTTTGGTACTTTCCATTTCATCTTAATTTTCATATAATCACATTTCTAACAAATTAATTAATATAATATTTTCTATCCACATTATCTAATTGGCTTTTTTATGATATAATTAATATAACATTTATTACATCAACAAACTTGCCGAATTTTTGAAATTAAAATGGTACGATTATTCTTACGGATATGCTTACCAAAATTTTAAACATTTTAGAAATTTTATTAATAAATTTGAATTGTCGTGCCTTTTACTTTATTTAAAATTCAAAAATATACTTTTAAGTAAATTAATAAATGTTTATTTATGTTTTTACTTACGTGATATAATCTAAATTTGGTTATTATACTTTTAAATTCAAACATTTAAAGAAAAAAAATCACAAGCAAATTTTTTGGGCACACTGCATTTTATTTTAACTTCCACATAATCACATTCCTAAAAAATTAATTAAATCATATTTTTTATACCTATTTATCTAATTGGATTTTTTAGAATATAACTAATATAATATTTTTAACTAATCAATTATTTATCTAACTGAATATATGTCATTAACAAACTTGCCACGTTTTTTAAAATTAAAATGGTAATATTATTCTTACGTATATACTTACCAAAATAATAAACACATCATAAATGTTTTGAAAAATAAAAATTGAATTATCCCATCTTTTATTTTATTTGAAATTCAAAATATATTTTTAAATATATTAATAAATATTTAATATTTATTATTAATGAGATAAAAACAAAATTATATTAAGTTTAAAATAAATAGCTTAAAGAAAAAGTTTGTTATAAAATTTTTTTATAAGTTTGTAACTTTCATAAACCTTTTACTGTGAATTTATAATTAATTAATAGTAGTAATTATTTATATGATGGAATAATTCAAAAAAAATATTATAATCAATCAGTCTTCTTCGAGAATCGACCCGAAGTGGTGATTCATTCCGTACATGGTAAAAATAATAATAGCTACATATTCACACTAAATGGTACGTTGAAAAATTTATAGAATTGTCTTCAACCTATATATTTTAAAATTGATCTTCCCATCGCATTACGTGATTAAAAAAAAAGAAAAAAAAACATTGATAAAACAACAACAACAACAACAACAACAACAACAACAATAATAATAATAATAATAATTCAACTAATTAATTTTTCATGGTCTATCAAAATTACAAAATTATATTATCTATAAAAAAAAAAATTCAATTAGTATAATGACTCATATTCAGTTAAATAGTTTGTATTCATACTATTTATTTTTATTAATGATCAAATTTTAAAACTTTGATATCTCCTTTAGATAATTTATAATTTGATATTATATATGTACACATTAACTTATAATACTTTAGTTACATATGTGCATATGCACGGGATGGAGAACTAGTTCATCGAATCGAATGAGAACATTGTGATTCAGCCTCCAAAATTCAATGTCTTGATTCTTAAATGGCATCAACAAGAACATAGACTGGTGGTCTAGTATATTATAAGTATGGTCAATTTAAATTCATTTTTAATAAGAATATAATATAAAACTAATATATTTTTTTCTAAAAAAAAAAGAAAGCACCGTAGACGGGTGGAGGTTAAGGCGAGACTCCCAACCTGTATATAATCATGCTCAAACTGGGCTGAAAAATTATAGGTCTACAAGTTCGTACAGCAAGCAGGAAATACTAAAGCCATAGACATAAGGGAAAGAAAGGAGAAAAGT